GTTTTGGAAACCGCTCACAATCAATGAGTCGGTCACAACAAGCGATCGATTCACAATTAACGAGCCGCTTGTAATTAACGAGCAATCAACGACCTAGGAATCACTTGCGATTCGTATACGAGATATGCGACCGACGCCCAAAATGACCAACGAGGCGCTTGCCAAAGCACAAAGCCTAATCGAAGTTAAGAGCCACAACAGAGCACTAGCCGAGAACTCAATCTCAGCATATGCAATCACTGGCATGCAAATGATGCAAGGAGTAACAGTCGACTTGCCAATCGCGATTGGGCGACTCTAGCCAGACGAGTCGCAAGTTCTACAGTCGCTCTCGTCGATTTGAGCCGCTCACGCGTTAATCGAGCTCTTCAATTCTCAAGCCGCTCTCGACGATTCAAGCCGCTTGCTATTCCAACGAGCTCTTCAGCTCTCGAGCCGCTCGTGCCTCAAACGAGCTCTTAAGCTCTCGAGCCGCTCGACGATTCGAGTCGCTTGCTACTCAAACGAGCTCTTCAACTTTCGAGCCGCTCTTATATTCGAGCTGCTCGGTACTCAAATGAGATGTCCGTCAGCTCTGGAGCTGCTCATGTCCATCGAGCTGCTCGCAACTCAATCAAGCTCTTTAGCTTAAGAGCTGCTTCTAGCCACACAAACTGTCTGTCAGCTCTCAGGCTTTTTACAGATTGTTGGATTATCAAACATAAGTCGTCACAGGAACTACGTCCCAATAGGATCCCTAGCCTAATAGGTTCTCCCACCAAAACGTGACGTACCAATGTCGTAAGGATCACCCTCACCGATATCGAGCCTAGGCCCATTGGCCGCCGTAAAGCGTGCTAAGCCAACTTAAGGGTAACCGTTCGTGCGCCAAGTGCTCTCACACAGAGTTATTAGTGGCATGTCAAAGCTGGTGGAGCACTCGCTTCACTAATTTCACCAAGACCACGGTACAAGGAGACGACCTTATTCATCATGGCAAGACTTATTACCCACGGGGTAATTAAATTATTTTAGTTTCGGCCACTAGGCTGAAGCCGACAATCGTGTTGCTGCCGACCTGACAAGTCGATGCTGGTCCTTGATCAATGCCAATTTCTGGACTAAAGTCGACTACCAGTCGTTGCGGTCGATTCATCGGCCAAGAATCCAATCAATCTTTTTGTTCCAATTTCGGTGAAAGCCTATTTAGGGGTTTGTCGCCCGTCAATCGAGCTCTTCAGCTCTCGAGCCGCTCTCGACGATTCGAGCCGCTCGCCCCTCAACGAGCTCTTCAGCTCTCGAGCCGCACTGGTCAATTCAAAACTTTTGTATCTCAATCAAGCTGTCCGCCAACTCTGAATCCGCTCTCGTTGATTCGAGCCGCTCGCGCCTCAAACGAGCTTTTCAGCTCTCGACGATCCAGCCACTCGCTCCTCAATTGAGGTGTCCGTGACTCATACGGTCTGACGAGCAATCCGCAGCTTAGAAGACACGATTCGGACAGTAGCTAAAGCTCGAGTAGTCCGTCAACGGAGTTAACTCCCGTCACTTATCATGCACGAGTTGTCACACGCAATTGGGCCACGAAAATGTTCGCGGTTCAACATATGGCCATCAAACAAAAGGACGTCACACAGGTAGTCGTAGGAAACCTACAAGCAATTTGGAGCGTCAATCGAC